TTTGGTCTTGTGGGAGGCGGGGCTTAGCCTCCACCTACCAGGCCACACCTGATCCCACTTAAAGGTCCCATGTCATGCTTTTCTGGTTATTACCCGTGTGAAGGTTTTTATGCATGTAAACGGTCTACAGAGTCAAAAACCCCCAAAGTACACCCTGTAGCGAGTAAAACTCTAACACAGAAAATACCTGTCTATGCTGCCCCAAAACGCCTCGTTGGAGATTTCTCTTTTTCCATTTGTTTCTTCCGGGAACCGCATGACGTCATGCGGTTCCTGGAACCAAAATGGACCAATCCGCGGAGGTCCTCACACACCAGGACCTTTAGCGTAAATGTTCAACAGGGAGTCCCATTGACTTGCATAGAGCTCCCTGGTTGGTAATAGACGAGTTGGGATCGCGGAGAAATGCTCTCCGCAGACCCATTCTCACAGCGTTTATAAACCTTTTTCTTACTCAATATCAAGCCACACTTATTGTTTTTACTTCGGCTGTGAGTGTTTGTGTGTGCTCAGGATGAGTTTTGCGCTGTCCCGCTCTATCGCCGACCCGGAAACCACACCAGTAAGCCAGATCATTGAGCAGCGAGCCTCGCAGCGTCCCGACCAAGGGACACTGGGCTCACAGGGAGGGAGGGGGGGGGGCGGAGCTCCTACAAGCCGTTTAGGACAGAGAGTGAATACCTGGTGAATACACATACTATACAGAGATGCTGTATGAGAAACCAATGTGAGTTTGGAAAATTGCACAATATAAATCTATTTTAGTATACCTCAACAATGGAATTATGATCAGTAGAAATGGCCATGACATGGGACCTTTAAGGCCTGTAATCAGCCCTGCTCAGTCTCTCCCTGTCTGTAGCAGCAAGCTGATCTCCATGTGCTCTCTTCTCGAGTTGAATATGATGCATTATTTGAGTAAGTTATGATTTATGTTTATTTGGTGATTATGTTTATTGATAGCTTGTTTAGGCTTATCTGGCTAAAGCAATATTTTATTTGTTTGTTACAGAGTATTGTAGTTCTTCCTGATTTATTGTGTTTATATCCTAGCCTCATCATCATCATAACCATCATCACCACCACCATCATCTACATCAACTCTCAACTGCATGTGAAGAGAATAAATGGTTAAACTGCTATCACCATGGGTCCTCAGACTTTGACTGGTATGCCAATGCAGAGGCACTTCAGACATGCTCTTCGGGCGTCCTCTTGCAAGCTGCGGGTTTGGCAAGTAGTCTTTAGTGAAGCGTCCAACAATGATCTTCGCCATACACTGCCTGGGGAAAAGAGGTATCCCGCCGCCCCATGAGGAACCAATTTGGGGTCACAGCGGGGATGGACTCTGGAGGCAGGCCAAGGCGGTGGAACTCTGGAGGACGGGCAGGAAGATGGCGGGACCCCTCTGGAGGACGGCCTGGAGAACGGTGGGACCGCGTCGAAGGACAGCCTGTAGGACGGCCTGTAGGACCGCCTGTAGGACCGCCTGTAGGACGGTGAGGCCGCTTCGAATGACGGCAGGACCTATTAGAAGTGTGTGTGTGTGTATCCTACCCCCTGACTGGATCTTCTGTTCCTTTTAGTTTTCCTTTTCCTATCCGTGGTTTAATGATCAGGAGGAAAGCTAGTTAACGTTAGCTGTTAGCTCCCTGCAGGACCCGGGTTCCATTGAGTTCCATTGTGATGCGTTCATGCGCTAGTTAAAAAAGTTTGCCCAATGCTCTTTAGGTAAAAAAGGAAATTACGTTGTCATGGTGTGTTACATGTAGTCATGTAAAATGCAATTTTTGGCATGAATTAAAAAAAAATCTGAGAAATATAAAATAGATACTAAAGGGGGATTTATTATTATTTAAAAAAATAGCCCTAACCGTTTAATAAAACCTAATTTACACACACTACGAGATGGAATAATTTATTGTGTAGTCTACCTATAAGATGCATATATTTTAACAAAGTGTATTTTGCAACATCTTGCAAGAAACAGCATCTCTGGGCTTCTTAACATTTAACAACCTATTAATGTGTCATACCCACTTAACGGGAAGAAACTCAGCTAACAGACGATATTAACAATTTTTACCTAAACGAAACACAAGTCTAACACCAAGCGTCTAAATCAGCACTTAGCGAAAACGGGCTAACGAGCTAACGACTACTTAAGCACCTAACTGGCAAAAGCGATCTTTTCTACTTCATGCTATCTGCAAAAACGAAATAGTTTCATGGTTTCATTCCCCTCGATTCTATTGGCTCTAAATGTTACAAAGAGGTGTCAATCACCCAATTTGACCAATGGGTTCCAGAGATACAGCCCTGCGTAATGCATGCGTAATGCATAGGTCTGACTGGCAGCTCGCGCACAATTACGCATGTGGCCAAAAAGGGGATAGAGGACGTCAGGCTGAACTTTCCAAAAAGGTCAAAAACAGTTGTATTTGGATGGAATGAATACCCATTGTGATATTTCAATGAAATAAAATGAGTTTTACAGTGTGGTACCTGAGAAAGGTCAAATGGCACTGATGGTAACCAAATGTACCCAAAGGTGAGTCTGCCTGGACCTACCTGTGCCAAAATATTCTTAAAAAATGCAGGTTTCACTAATTTAGCATCTATCTTGACACAGGGTACTTATGATATATTGTGGTATGGATCCCTAAAGGTTTTGGGCTCCTATCCCACCATTCAAGGGTGGTTTTCACTAAATAATGTGGTTTTTTTAGGCGGAGATTAGAATTTACATTTTTTTTACTATGTTCCATCTGAATGTACTCTGACACAGCAACATCTAAATTGATTCTGACACTTCCACAGCCAACTCACAGGTGTATCATTGCTTTGATAAAAAACATTATTCAAATGCCCCTTTTAGAAGTGAAGAGTCGTTCATTCTGGGCATGTCCTTTTCGAGCCTGAGGCCTGAAAAATAGGCTCAGGGCTTAAGGTTAAGAGTAAGGCACACCAGTGCTTTAAATAAACTGCTAATTTGCTCACATAAGCTTGTCTGAACCAAATATCTTTGAAATCTCACCCATGTGTGTCCAAAGGGTTCGGACACCCATTTTGGGTTCGGACACCCATTTTGATAAAGTGAACCACGTCCGAAAGAGATTAGTCGAGTCAGTTCTGAGACATTAGCTCTGGATACCATTTGAGACTCTGACCTTCTCTTGGTGAGTCCACCCATGGCAAAAGGTTAGAGAGCTTATGTCCCCTTCAAAGGGATTACTGACGATGGGTAGGCAATGTGTGACTAGCTGGAATTGGGCAAAGTCCCAGCAAAAGCATGAGCCATCAACATCACCACAAGTCTGTTTACCAACACTTCCTCTCTCCTACTGGCCTGCAACCACCTCACCCCGATATAAACCAATCATCTTTACATCTGTTTACATGGCTGCTTGTCACACACACACACACACACACACACACACACACACACACACACACACACACACACACACACACACACACACACACACACACACACACACACACACACACACACACACACACACACACACACATGGTTGAAATAAAGATGCACTCATGCATGCACTAATGCAACATTAGGATTATAATTTGATTGACAAAATGGTAATATGTGTCTTAAGTGTTTGATGTAGAGGATGCGGCTGACGGTCAGTTAGTACAAAGGCAGTCAGGCCTTCTGCTAATCTGCATGACGGCCAGTCAGCCTGACAGACTACAGACTTCATTTATGGAGCAAAGCAGTCTGAAGCTCCATTTTACAAGTACAGTGGCGCTCTCTGCTGGTAAGATATAAAAGAGTGTCCATACATATTATGTCCACATTTTCAGACAAGAAAGTGGGAATACATTTTCAAATAAAATCTTTATCTTTCACAATTATCTTGTTTGACTTTGGGACTTTTTTAAATGTATCTTATGATATGTGTTCTATATTGCCTTTGTATGAATGTCCTGTCCGTCTCTGTGTATTAAATTGCTGGTTTCTCTCAAGAATGAGACCCTGCAGTCTCAGTGAGATTACTTGTCTATAGAAAGGTCCAAACTAATTTATAGAGACATTGCCCAGTTGCTCCTGTCTGTTGAATCAGTACCAAATAGGCTTACAGTTTTGTAAGATTGTTCCCAAATGTCTCGTTTTTTTTCTAAAACTTGGGCTAGGTGTGGTCCTATTCTTACCCTCTGAGATTTCTCTTGGGATTGGGCAGCTGACTCGCACATGTTTATGTCAACCCTCCCTCGATCAACGCCTCTGACTGACACTCAATTCTTTTTTTGTTTTTTCATTCCCAGACACCTGTGCTCAGCTGTCAGACAGTTCAGAGTGTGACTCTGCTGCCATTTCTGCCGAGGAACAACAAGCTCTGTGACAAAGGCTCCCTGAAGCTGCCCGGAGGGACCCCAAATATCGAGGCAGGTCGGTCCTTATTTCATTCAGGGTCAAAGGTTGGGCTTCATCACGAGAGAGACTAGCCAGGGGGAAAATGGTAACATCAGCCCTTTTCTCTTTGTGTGTTTATATGCAGTGTGTATCCATCTGTCTCTCCAGTGGCTTTGCTTCATCTATTTATAGGGCTGCTAGGACATTAGCTCAATGTCCATGTAGAAATGTCATGTAAGACATAAGAGCTTCACAGCATTCATTTATAAATGTGAAGGTCGAGAAACGGCTTACATTTGTTCATTAACGAAGGAAGTTGACCTTTTAGCTGTGTCATTTTGTGCAGTGAATGTGAAATGCTAATGAGACTGTGGATATAACTTTTACAAAGTGAAGAATAGTGAAAAGAACAGCTGTAACAACATTTTGACCCATTGAATCACACTGTTGTGGGATGGTAACAATGTACCAACAATCCATATATTGAAGTGGCAGCCAAGTTCAAACGAAAAACTTTGTGTGATTAATATGTACATTTGTATATCTGCTGAATAATTAGAAAACAAATCACTTTTGAGCCACCGTCATCTTCTTCCCTCTCGTTCCCTCAGGCGGGGGATGGAAGAAAGCTATGAGACATTTGAAGAGGAGTTAGGGCCATCAACAGCAGATCCTCCTCCACAGAAGCCTGTTCGACAGATCCGCAGACCAGGTGGCCACACACACACACGCACACGCACACGCACACGTGCACACACACACACACACACACACACACACACACACGCACACGCACACGCACACGCACACACACACACACACACACGCACACACACGCACACGCACACACACACACACACACACACACACACACACACACACACACACACACACACACACACACACACACACACACACACCATATCTGTAATGCCTGCACATAAAAGCCTTCATCCATTGTGCATATATTGTTCGACTCTATAAATACTTAGGAGCAGCAGAACAGGGAGCCGCTGAAATATGACTCCTGGTCACAGGCTACACAGTGATAATGCAGCCATGCTAAATGGATGGTGGGTGTAATCAGATGCAATCTCTCCAAACACACACACAAAGTCCTCCTTGTGAGGAAGAGCTCTTAAAGGTCTGAAAGGATGGGAGAATGTATTTTTATTTGGCAGCACTTTGGTCCAGACGGAAATAATTATGTAGTCTTTTGAGGTCACCAGGGGAAGAATCCTAATGATTTTATGTAGAGCCAATTTAATTTGCCCCATACTTTAGTTTTCCAATACGTAGGTTGATGATACAATATCTGCAAAACTTCTGTATATTTCATCAGCTTCACTTTCTTTGTTTTTAGTGCTAATTTGATACATAATTAAACCTTTAACCAAGACGTTGGTCAAACAAAGTAAAACACTCTTTATAGTGACAATAATAATTTAGATTCCTATAAAATAAATACTTAAAACTGCACTCCTTAAAAGTATTATATATGTCGATGAACCAATAAATATGCATTCACATGGCAAGTGAAATATCAGCATCAATAAATAAGTTATAACCATAAAAATAAATACAAAAATGCCAAACGAAAAACAAAAGGCAAACACATTATCATTGTTTACATACAGTGTGCCAAGTAACAGTAATCAGCAAACCTCAATGCAATCAAGACTGCATAATTTAAATTAACAAGGTCCCTATAAATAGATAATACAAGTCCTAAGTGGTAATTACAGTCAAACATGCACATATTTAGCTGCTTAGGATCAGCCTAAAACAACATAACATAACATAATTGTAATATAGTCATTGTGAGTGTTGGTAGGTTGGTGTAAGCATGAAGCTCAATGCACACCTCGCATCTCTTAGTTTTCTTAACCTGTCATGTCCGTCTGCAATAAAATATAACGTTGGCAGAGTAGAGTTGCATTTTATGTAAATAAGACATTAGTTAAATCAAACACGTCAGCCAAGCAGAATATATGTACATGCATCAAATTCATGTGAATAAATACAATCCAGTTAATGCTTGTTTATTGTTCAGGATTTATGATATCCCCCATCAGTAAATCTTCATCTGTCTGTTGCAGAAATGTACGCTCCGAGGAAAATCAGAGAGGTGAGATAGAAAACAACCAACATGGATCATTTTTCACTGTGTTCACATCCCTATACATATTTTCTGCTAAGCTATACATGTTGTTTTCTGACAGGCAAAGGCTCCATTTCCACAACAACCAAGATCAGAACCCAAGATTTTACCGAGGGAACCCAGCGTCCCCAGAACAAGTGAGTCATTTCCATCGAACTCCTTAACCTCCATCAGATTTCAGTGTTTTCTTTTCTCGATTTCAATAACATCACCCAATCCTTTTCCTTCATTTCCTTCAGCAACTTTGCACAAACCCTTGTCCGTCCAAAACTTGACACATATTGAAGCCCCCTGGGAGAATGTCACCCTCAACCGCTGTCTGTTTGTGGTCATTTCCATCCTGGTGCTCACCTCCGGCTTTCATAGGCTTCATGGCAAGTAAACTGGAAGTAGCACCACAGTTACAACATGATGACATGCCTGCTGTGACTGAGTGGTCTCTTTTGAAAAAACAGAAACTCTGCGTGGTAAGAGGACAGCAGAGGAGGAAGAGGAAGAAGTTGGTGTGATAGTGAGACGTTCAGGCTCATTACGACATAGAGGACAGCCACCCGAGGTAAAGACAGGATTCACCTATGTGACAAGTTTATCATCCAATCTCAAAATAAACAGCTGTCCCTATATTGTGTCAACCACTTGCGTTTCCCTCCCCTCTAGCCCGAGACAACTCTTTGGGAAGTCATGTTTTGGTGGCTGCCAGACCTAGACGATGAAGAGGATGAGGAGGAAGATGAAGACGATGATGGACTTGTCAAAAAAGGAAAGTCAAAGAAAGGAGCATCAAGAGGTCTTAGAAACAAGCCACTGCCAGACAAAAAACTCATGAAGCCAAATGAAGGGAAATTAAAGGACAGGAGAGCTAAGAAAGACAGGGTCGAAGAAATCAAAGACATGAAGACAATAGATCAGGAGGAACCTGAAAAAACAGCAGATGAGGAAGATGAGGAAGATGAGGAGGTAAAGCCTGAGAAGACTAAAAAGCTGCAGGAAAAGAAGAAAAAGACTCAAAAGGGATGAGTTCAATGTTTCTACTGTTTCCAATGTCCTCTTTTAAATATGCTTCTACTTAGACTCAAAAGTCTTGCTTCCAGATAAATGACTTCAATGTCAATATGGTAGATTTTGGCTGCTTTGCTACAGATGTGATTTTGTGTAGTGACATGTTTGATTCAAAATTCTGACTGCTTTATTTAAACCTGTGATCATTTGGAGGCCTTTAGAGGTGAAAGATCTACATTTTTATTAAATTGCTTATCAATCGCACCAGCTCAGTTTACTGTCAATAATTAAAATAAAAGTTTACCCACAAGGCTTGTTATTTCCTCAAGAGCTGCTTCAAAAATATTTGTTCCCCGTAAAGTCAAGCTTCTTTCCTTATCAGCCTCTTCATGCCTTAATATTTCTGCACTGTTTCTATTTTCATGTGCTATAATCCATTCGCACAATCCTGGGACACATCGATTAACCTTAGTGTGTTTGTGTGTGCGTTATGTCTTTGTAAAAACACAGATTCCAATGCAAATGTTTTTTCACCAAAGAATTTAATTACAAAAAACAGAATGTTAAAAGATGAGCTATTCTTAATCATAGCTGCACGTCCAGAAAGTAAGCATTTATACAAAACAGTGGGGTCATACGGGCTGCCCTACACATTTACATAAATCAAACAAATGTATAAAAATCGACTAGATGTAGACTTTAAACGTCATTGAAAGTAATCACGATCTGCTGGTAGGGAATCAATTATTAGACATGAGGCTCTCAGGAGGAGGCGGCCTCATTGGCATGGGGGGCATGGGCATCTGATGGGGCATATGGGGGTTACCGGGGGCACCAGGTGGGAGAGGGGGCATCCCTCCTGGCGGGGGAGGAGGCATATTATCATTTGGCTGGCGATGTCCACTCATGAGAGGAGGAGGACGCTTCACACCAACAGGAGGTGGGGGTCCGCTGGACTGGGAAATAGCTTTCTCCATTTTGAAGTGGAACTGTAGGAAGAACTGGGAGGAAAAATAACACAGACAGGTTAAACACATATGTTCTCATTCCTGAAATAAAACATAGTGGTAATAAATGTTAAACAGCTTCTAAGTACCTGTTTAGTTTCTCTGTTCCAGTGGGTCCAGAAGCGGTTTTCTGCTTTATCAATTTCTCTACTCGGGACCTGAAAGAGCAAAGATGGTGATGTTATGTTTAATTGAATTGAAAGTACTTATTGCCTGAGATCTCATGATGTGGTTTTATTAAATGTGCCAAGTGCTAGGACTGTCTTAGGGAAGAAAGCTTTTAGTTGTGCAGCTCCATTAACATTACATTACATTACATGTCACTTGTTAGACGCTTTTATCCAAAGTGACTTACATACTCAATACTGTGGGCAATCCCCACAGGAGCAATTTGGGGTGAAGTGTCTTGCCCAGGGACACAACGACATGCTGACTGCAGTGGGGTTTTAACCTGTGACCACCTGAACCGAAAACCAACACACAACCCACTGCACCACACGCCTAACTTGGAACAGTCTGCAAAAATGTTTCAAACTGAGCACTTTGGTTCCCCTGCATCATTTTAAAACTCGGCTGGGTGACATGCTGTTTGATACTCATGGTACCTGTCACTGTAAATAGAGTTTGTAAACTGTACCCTGTAATTTATGTTGTATGTCGTCCTTATTGTTGTTCTGTTGTTTTTATGTTACATGTGTAACCAATGTGCTGCAGGTCACCCTTGAAAAAGAGATATTTTGATCTCAAGGGGCTTTCACCTGGTTAAATAAAGGCTACAAGAAAAAAAGACTACAGAGGAAAATTAAAGTGCAGTTAAAACTCACCTTAAAGGCAATGGTCTCGTACGGTTCAGCAGCCAGAAGCAGGTACTGCCAGCGGCGATCAGGGGGCTCGATGCGCTGCTCGTAAGCAGACATAAAACGATGCCTGGGTCCAATTCCTTCAGCGATCTCTGGGTAGTCAATCTGATGAACAGAGGAGTAAAAACAGGTAACTTACAGACTTGTTTTTGAAAGTAAATAATCAGCCAGTGAAAAAAATGTGTTTGAACACAAAAGGGATGGCTTAATTTGGTCAACAGGACCAAATTTGTCTGCTCGTCTGTTTTTAGGTTTGAACCAGACTGTGTACGATAACAGGCCAAATACATCCACAATATCTGTCCTACTGTACTAGAGAGTTCTTTCAGATTAAGAAAATGTTCGTTTAAAAGAAGTACAGTATATTGCCAGCCTTGGGAGAGAGAATCAAAAACCTAGAAAATATCTATTTACGGCTATTTTATCAGAAGTAGGATGTAAGCCAATGCATTTCCTGTAACTTTCTTATACGCCAACTTTTGTTTTTCCAGTCAAGTCATTTTGATGTGAGGCTGCAGCAGTAGGAAGTGTTTGGTTTGCATTAAGGACCTGATACAGCAATGTTTCCAGGTAAGTAGCCACAGACTAGACTTGGTAAAAGAGGAAATAAATAAATATTGCAATATCAGTGGGCCATAGGCTAATTCACCAATGTGTAACCGCATAAGGTGACAAATAATAACTTAATATTAACTCATTTTTAATTCCCTCCAAAAGACACTAACCTGGAAAAGTAGGGACTGCTGTCCGGTCTCCGAGTCCCTCTGTTTGGTTACTATGAAGAAAAGAAAGACATTGATTGTATAATAAAATGCAATACATTTGCAGGTAAACCCTGGTCAGTACAAGACAAAATAATCACTGCACTGACTCATAACAACTCAGCTCGCTTACCTTTGTATCCCGGTCGACCAATTTTGACAAATTTCTTGACCTCAACTTTCACTTTGGCTGGAGCTGGCTGGGCAGGAGCTTCTTTTGCCTCTTTGGCTGCTCTCCGCGCCCTGAAACAAAGAAAATATATAATTTTTTAACTGTAGAAAAATGATGTGCTGAATCTCAGTGGGTTGTTGCGGTGAATTGTTGCGGTACAATTAATTGGTCACCAAAAACACTAAACAAATGGCGTGTTGCACTTACAAGTTGGTCTGATGTTTCTTTCCTTGTGTGTGAGCCAAGTAGCTGCCCTGTAAAGTAGAGAAGAGCGATTTGTCAAACAGGATACTCCGATAACAGGAAATGTATTATTAAGTTAGGATAACTTCTAGCACCATACAGGAAAGTATCATTGTCTGCCTCCTCACCTCATTGTTATGAAGAGTCAAGCAAAGTTTGCACTCGTATGACCCTAAATGATTTTTCATAAAGTAGGGGTCTTTATTGATGTCAATAGTCTCCAGGGCCAGCTGGCGTAACCGCTCTCGCCTGTCCCGGTTACTTTCAGAGGAGGAGGCCACCCCACCGCTCCCCGTCTTCCCTCCAGCTCGATGCTGGAAATCCATCTTTGCAAGGTGATGGGCTCAATCACTCAGAAACCCACACGCGTTGCCCAGCTGACACTGGACAGGCACTCAGAGAAGATGCTGCTGATTATCTGAAGAAAGATAAAGCAAACAATGTCAGTGAAAATGAACATATAGAATAATGTTAACTGTTATTGCCGTACCATGTGTTACTGGATTGTGGTGTAAAACAGTGCCATGTATGGAGTTACACTATCACTTAGGAGTAAGCAATACAAGACTACTGACTTGACTCTATTATATACTGTATTAAGTGCATTGCTCTAGTCTAGATACTAGTTCAGGTCTCCTTTGCATGTAAACGGTTTGAGGAGCACTGCAGTAAGTTCCCCCTCAATTTCAAAAGGAATGTTAAAAACAAATACTTCCGGAACCAAGACTTTCTATAATTAGTTTGGCACACATTTCATGTAGTTAAAAAACGATACAATGACTGGCTGCGCTACTTTATGCTAACTTCCCTTGTAAGTGATCGGTCTTACTAATGGGCAACAACACACTTATTTAGACAAATATTCGTTATTGACCAGATAAAATATATAGCAGAAAAGAGGGGAATTTTTTTTATCAAGATAGAAAACAAATGACAAAAACTACAAACTGTAGTTAGCTGCAGTTTGTTAGAATATGGTAGCGCTCGCACGACAATGCTAAGCTAACAGCTATTCATTGAGACACATTTTAACATATGATCGAAGACCCCCGCACCTAAAAAGGAGCTATCTCTGTATATGTATTTATAGATTGATAAGTTATATGTAAAACTAAAGAATACACATGTAAAGGATAGTGTAAACAGTTTACTTTGTTCAAAACACTCACCGACAGCACAACGTAAGGATCATGCCCCTGTAGATCAGCAGTGCGCATGCTCAGGTGGTTTCCTCTTCACCGGTTGGAAAACAGCTTCAGGTGCATTACTGCCCCCTGCTGTTCTGGAGTATTCCTACATGTGGCACATTTCAGAATCATCTTTATATCTGCAAAGTAACTATAGCTGGCAAATAAAACGTGTTGAAGTAAAACTTAAATGTGCTTTCTCTCTGAAATGTATTGGATTAGCACACTATGAAAATACTCAAATACAACTACCTCAAACTTGTTATTGAGTACAGTACTGGTGTAAATGTACTGAAGAAATCTTTCACCAGAGAAAAGTACATCCCATACTACCATGTCACCAGTGGTATAAAGTAACTAAGTACACTTAATTGAGTATTGTACTCAAGAACTTCTATTTTACTTGAGTAACTCAATAATTTGCTACTTTGTACTTCTACCCCACTTAAATTTAAAGGTAAAAAGTGTACTTTTACTACACTTCAATTTATACCTTTAGTTACTTTGCAGATTTGGATTAATGGTGTTAAATATACTCAACATTTAGAAAATACTTGAGTCACACCTGGAGTAAATCACAAGCTACCTTGCACTATAAAGTAATTAACATTAGCTGCACCTTTACCAGCTTTGATTAACACATTAATACATCAATAATTACAATCAAACTATATAATATGATTCTGTAAATTGGCCGATCTGCAAATGAGTACTTTTTACTTTATATTTTGATGCTTCTGTATTTTTACTTGAAACTTGAGTATTATTTTGAATGCAGAACTTTCACTTACTATACTCGATAAAGTATTCCTACTATCTGGAAATTCTACTTTAAAAGTTACGAGTACTTCTTAGTTCTTCCACATCTGCATGTCACTACAAGTTGTAACTTACACGGCTTGTAAACGCACTGTTTACCTAGTTGGTTCCTCACCGACTTCCGTACTATTACAAGTGAGGCGTTTCTGGCTGCCACCGAGTGTCCGGTGTGAAACATGGAGGAGAAGTCCGACTCTTGACCACAGCAATGACAAAACACACACATTCACATTTCGAGGACA